GGCTGTCCTAATTATGTCATCCTGGGGTTTTGAGAAAGCTAATCAATGTATATTAGTTGTTGATCATACTTCAAACAGTAAAATGACACCTGAAAAATGACCCTGCAACTTACTCACAAAAGTTATTTAGATGCCAATGCTAATTTAAAAAGAAATATGTATTTGCAGAAGAATCAAAGAAATTCATACTCCTGTTATAAAGTAGGTCAAGCCATACCTTGGTCTAGATCAGAAAAGAGCAATGATAATTCGTAAGTTTATATCTACTTTATAAAATCCCTATAAAATATTTAATATAAGTATACTAGAATGTAAAATGTGTGCCAGATACCTGATATTTTTGTTTATTTAATAATAAGCATTGCAATCACAACATATAAAGTGGTAAAAGAGACTCAAAAGGTTTTTTTTCAAAATGTTTTTTAATTGGAGTACAACAGTGAAGCAGTTAAGGACACAAATTTTGAAGCCAGATAGACCTTGATTTTGAATCCAGGTTTTGTCACTTAGTAATTGCAGGTTTAAACAAGCAATCTCACTTGTTCAAGATATAGTTTCCTTGTCTGTGCAGTGGTGATAATAGGAACTACATCACAGGATTGTTTTAGAGTTACACTTGAAAATGCACCTAAAGTCTTTAACAAAGTAGCTGACATTTCTATGTATGAGTCTTGGCTTCTGCACTCAAGGAACTAACATTAGATGAGGAAATTCAATAGGGCATGAAAAACTGCCTACATAAGGCACTATGTTATAAATAATTTAATAGTTAAATTTTGACTATTATTATTGAAAGGTTATCAGGGACTCAAAGATTCCACAGGAGGCAAGGAACAGGCTTAGAAAAAAAGCAGAAACCCAAGGAACTGCAGGAGGCACAACCATCTTTTGGCAAGGATAGTCTGGGCATTGCTATCTTAGGATACCAGGCAGGAATGAATTCTAACCACATGTTTGGGGACACGGTTCCCTCCAACAAGACTTCCCACAATGGAAAGACCTTCTGCATCAAATAAAGAAAGTGCTACTGGATGCAGGACAGCCAGAAAACAAAAAACAAAACAAAACAAAACAAAACAAAACAAAACATCCATCCTGAACACTAGCAGGCATTGTACTGAACACTACCAGTCATTGAGGGCTTTAGGTAAAGTGTCTCACTAATCTTCATAACCATTATATAAGGAAAATACTCTCATTACTACATCTATTTTACAGATGGGGAAACCAAGTCTCAGAGAAATTAATTTGCCCAAGGTCACACAACCCGCAAGTGCTAAAAAAGAAATTCAAATACAGAAAGTTTGATTCTACAGGCTAGGAACTAGCCTATTATAGGTACTATAGGTACTACTAAAGCCTACTATAGGAACTATAGCTACTAGTTCCTCCAAGAGGAGGGAAAAACCCCACCATATCTGGCTAGATCAGGGAAGACATTATCAAGGAGTAGTTTTGAGCTGAATAGACTATTCATCCATCCATCCATCCATCCATCCATCCATCCATCCATCCATCCATCCAAGTATTTAGTATTTTACCTATCATAAGAAGTAGGCAGATAAAAATGTTTTACATAAGTACTAAATATTTATTGGAAGAAAAAATAGAAAATACAGTTAAGGAATAGGTAGAAAATTAAAATGTCCACATTTTTGCAACCGAAGGATAACCAAGAGTAATATTTTGGTGATTAGTATTCTTCATTAAATATCTATAATTTTTTCTTACAAAATTAGAACCATATTATGTTAGTAACTTGCTCTTTCCACCCAACAATATATAGTGAATATCTTCCTAAGTCCATAAGACCACCTTTACAACATTGGCTCTTAAATTGTATGGTCTCAGACACTACAACTGGTGACTTCAGGGGCGCCTGGATGGCTCAGTTAGTTAAGTGTCTGACTCTTCAATTCAGGTCATGACCTCATCGTTCGTGGAATTGAACCCTGTGTTGGGCTCTGTGCTGACAGCAAGGAGCCTACTTGGGATTCTCTATCCTCCCTCTCTGCCCCTCCCCCATTCTCAAAAATAAACATTAAAAAAAATAACGATTATCAACCCAATACATGTTAACATAAATAATATTTTTTAATGAAAAAGAAGTTTTCTAGAAGAAAAAATTACTGAAAGATATGGCAATGTTTTACATTTTTGAAAGTCTCTTTAATAAAGGGCAGCTGGATTCTCATAGTTGCTTCTGTGTTCAATCTATCGTGATACATTATTTTGGTTGAAGTATATGAAAAAAAATCTGGCCTCACACAGATGCATAGTTGGAAAGGAGAAGAGTATTTCAATGGCATTTTCATATAATTGTGGATATCCTTTGAAACCACAGCAAAACTGGGAAAATGGTAAATTAAAAAAAAAAACAATTCAATGTGGAATGTAAAACCATATCAATTAAATTTTTGTACTCCGTAACATTAAATTCTATTGGTCTATTTAGCAATGTGAATGGATCTTTCACCCATTCTTTATAATACCCTGTGTTTGATATTTACAAGATTTTGGTTCAATGAGTTATACAGATCTTCCAAATGTCAATAAATTCCATTACACATTGTCAAAAAAAATCACGCATGTTAATATCACCAATTTCATTGGGACTTTGTCAAACTCGCAGTGGCAGATCTGTTTTCCACAGAATGTTCCCTTGAAATCTCTACTAGTGAAATCGACAACAAAAATTGCTAATTGTTTTCCTTGAAGAGAAAAGCTTACTTATTCATATTTGAGAAAATGCCTGCCAAATATCTAAGTACCCGGGTACCTGTTACTTGTTAAGTTAATGTGGTATTCCTTGTAAAAACTGGCTGGTTGACTTAGCAACTCAAGTGCTTCTCCTCAAGTCAACTATCATACTTTTGAACACAACAGAAAAGGTTTATGTGTGCTTCCCATTTCATCATACAGAATACTTAAAAGGGTTGAGATTTTGTAACATTTTTACTGCTCCATCAAGGACATTGGGAAACAGATTCTCCCCTCCCCACACTTTTTTTTTTTTTTTTTACTGCAAGAGCATGGTAGTCAAGAAATTACTTCTAGATCACTTTGGTGACTTGAATTTGGTGCCACTGCTTTTTATTTTGTGCTAAGAGGCCAACAGTTTCACCCACCATTGCTTCTGCATCAGTTAGTACAAATATCACATGGCTTATAAAAAAAGAAGCACAAAACTTCTTTGTTATTACTATAGAAGTTACTATAAAAGTTTTCACCCCATCAGCTTCCTAAATTTGGGGAATTCCCAGGGAGTCTGTAGACCACACTTTGAGAATCAATGTTCTACAACACTTTTAATGGCTGCAGAGAATTACATTGTATGGAGTGACCAAAGTTTATTTAGCCAATGTCCTTTATTAAGAGCACCTGAGTTGTTTCTAATTTTTCTCCATTACCAGTAATGATGCAGTTTAAACTTCACTTGCATCCTGAATTAGATCTTTAGGATATGGCCTTAAAAATGGAATCACTGGGCCAAAGAGCATGCATTTAAGAAAAACTGGCTTCTGAACGTTGCTTTCTGTAGGCTTACTAATACACTTGTTTTTTATGTAACAATGAGTATCCTTCCAGCTTACCAACATGGTGGTTATCTTTAAGAAAAAACAGAAACAGACCAACTTTACATCCAATAAATGGAATCCCATTTTGTTTAATTTGCATTTATTTGCTTACTTGTTAGGTTTTTTCATCTTTATACAAAATTAGTGAGTTGCATATTTATGTATCTTGCCTATTTTTGTATTGAAATAGTCTTCTTTGGGATTTTATCTGTTTGTCTGTCATGAATGTTGCAGGCTTTTCTTCCCAGTTTTTGTTTACTTTTTAACTTTGTGTAATTTATTTTTATATGTAAGTTTTAAATATTGATTAAATTACCTATCAGTCTTTTTATATTTTCTGCCTTTGGTGTCATGCTTTAAAAAGCCTCCTCTGTCCTAATATACAAATATTTACGTTTTGTTTTTTACTTTTTTTTTTTAGTAAACTTCAATTCATTAAGAATTATTTTGATATATATGATTTGAGGTAAAGATATGACTTAGCCTTTTCCCCAATAGTTAGCTTTTAATTCCTTCCAGCATGTTAGCTTTATCATTATTTTTCCCTTTATTAAAACCTTATATTAAATCGTGTTTGTAAACAATTTAAAACAATACAGATGAAGTTAAAGTAGCTCTTGACTAAGTTCCTATCCTCAGAGCTATTATTAGTTCTTTCCTTTCAGGCTTTTCCCCTTGCATTTAAACGCACATAAGCACAAATATGTAGTTTACGGCAACTTGGGTTCCCCCCCCCCCACTTCACTTAACTCATCTTTATCTTTCCACAAGAATCTACTGTGTTCTTTTTAACACCAACGTATGGTATTCCCTAACGCGGATGACCATGTTTATTTTGTCCTCCCTCTATGGCTATACGACTACAAGGTTTCAATTTTTCGTTATTTCTTCACCCACCTCTCCCCAAAGCGGATGCGGCTTTAGCTTTCTTGTGCGCATGTGCAAGTGTCCATGGGCTACATTCCTAAACATGGAATAGCTTTGAGTACTTTCTCATTTTGTGGGTTCTGGGGAGCCACTGCGGGTACGGAGGGAGACAAACACACTCAGACCAACAACCTGGATAGAAAGAGACCTAGAACAGGTTCTCAGCCCCCCACAGTTTTCTTACTTTCAAAATGGACGCTGAATTTATTTTTTACCTCGTAGACGCAACAGTTCCCAGCATCGGAACCAGATGCAAAACTATTCAGAGGCCAGGCACTACGACTAAGAAATTAGGAGAAGAAAAACCTCCAGCCCTAAGGTCCGTGACGCTTGCTTCCGGGAAGCGGACCGGAAGCCACGCCTCGATTCTGCGTCAAACCTGACTTCAGGGGCCGTCGTAAAAGTGTCGCCCGCCCCGTGTTTCTTGGACCGGCCACAGGTTTCCGCTCGTCTTCGGCCGGGGGTCTGGAACTGCGGGTGTCAGTTTCCCTCAAGATGGCGGACGAGGAGGCTGGGGGTGCGGAGAGGATGGAAGTCAGCACGGAGTTGCCCCAGACCCCTCAGCTCCTGGCATCTGTAAGTCCTTGTAGGCAAGTTCCTTTTGTCCCCCCCCAGTCCCTCCATACCGCGCTCAGGAGGATGTCGGGCTTCGCCCCTTATGGCGGCCCTGGGGAGGGGGAGTCGTATGGATTGATCTGGAAGGAAGCCATGGAATAAAAGTTAGTCATTACCCACATTCTTGCCTGCCAAGTCTACGGAGTATTATGACTTTGTCATTTATTAGTCGTGACGAGTTCAAGCATGTCTCTATCCTGAAGTAGAAATAACTGGTGATGCTATTAGATGCTCTGGTATGGGGGCTAAGACGGGATTGGAGGAAAAGCCATTTGCCGATGGACGCAGTGCCACCTTCTCTTGATGACAGAAATGCAGGACGCTGCACCTAATGTTATATTTCACAGCTGGCTGGGTGGGGCCTGGTAATGGCAGGGAATGCTGTCAACTCATGTCAAGATACGGGGTGTAGGAACTGTAGTCCCTCATTCTAGTATCTTGAGAACCCCAGGCCTAACCCTCAGTGGAGGAACCCGTCATCTGTCTGTTCTTTCTAAAGATGAAGAAGAAACTTCCAGACTTTTCAATTCAGAGCACACCATTAATTAATTTCGGAATCCATATTTTGCCCTTGTATTTTGCCCTCACTGTCTCTGAGCAAATTTGAGTTAATAGTCTGCCTACAGGGAGAAAGCAGATGAGGAGGATAGGAGATAGGTAACTATTAGGGAATATTCTGGATGTCCCCGAACATCTAGTGGGAGCTAGACAGGGAATAACCAAATATTGATCGCTGCATGATGTTAAGAGTTTTATCACTTTGTCTTTATTGCTGCACATAGAAAAGTGTAGGATATATACCTCTTTAAAAGTTCTTTGGTTTGTAGTTTTAATTTTTTTTTCAACGTTTTTTATTTATTTTTGGGACAGAGAGAGACAGAGCATGAACGGGGGAGGGGCAGAGAGAGAGGGAGACACAGAATCGGAAACAGGCTCCAGGCTCCGAGCCATCAGCCCAGAGCCTGACGCGGGGCTCGAACTCATGGACCGCGAGATCGTGACCTGGCTGAAGTCGGACGCTTAACCGACTGCGCCACCCAGGCGCCCCTGGTTTGTAGTTTTAATAAAAACATTTTTTGGACTATTTTAATCATGCAGACACTTAAGCATTGTTGTTTGAGAGAATTAAGTGAGCTCCAGAAATAAGAATCCACCGGAAGGACTGGGGTGACTGGCTGGGAGATAGAAACCAGGTAGGGAGGGAGTTGGAATAAGAGTTTGGCGACCAACTAGAGCAGTGCTTGCAACCATCCTCCACCTCAAATAGCAGTTCAACCTCACTTCACTGCTGGTGTTGAAGGAGGAAGCATCTCTTTGAGATGATAAGAAATGAGAAGGTAGGAAAAATTGAGAAGCAGCTGAAACATCTGGTCTTAATGGTAGCTTGTGCTTTTTTACCTCTTAGAAGGAGTACAGAAACTGTGGACAGAAGTGTTACTGTAATTTTGTATTGCCAAATGTTTTGCCAATGCTTTGATACACTAATTCTTCCAGTGGTATAATAAAACCTCCTCAATCCAGACTCCACTTATTTGTAATTGGAGATTAGTACAGGAATCAAGCTAGAGTTACTTTGCAAATTCTGTACTTGAAGAAATACTAGATTTCTTGGGGGCAAGACTTTGGGTTTTGCAAAGCAGTAGGTAGATGCCAAGACAAGTGTAATAGCCTGAGGGAACTCACAGTTTAGTGACACAGATCAGACAAGTGTTCAAAGAATTTTAATACAAGACAGGGTGATCTAAGAGGGTCATCATATCTGGATGAAGACCAGATATCTTTTTCCTTTCCTTTTCTTTTTAAAGCTACCGTCTTCATTTTATTCTGACAGTAGAGTGAGATACTGGTCTTCCAGTTTACTATTTCTTTGCTGTTAAATGAAAGAAGCCCAGAAATTCTTTAACATTTGAATCATTTTGTATTATAAACTACCATTGGGAGGCAAGGAAAACAAAAATAGTAAGTATGGGACAATTATAAGGTTTTAGAAATCTTACCAACTCCATTAGTCTTGTCCTTGGTTATACTTTGTTTTCTTTAAAAACAGCAACAACAAACAACAACAACAAAAAACCCCAAAACTTTCTTCTTAAACTCCAGATCATTTCTCTGTCCTATTGCTATCAAAAGCGTGGAGGCTCTCAAATTCCTAATATCACCTAACATGCAATTAAGGTGAAATAATAGGTATGAATTATGGGGCATTTATAAAAGCCATTGCTTAAGAATCATTAAAGGAATTGATTTTTTAGGTCTGGGGTGGGGAATTTTCACAGCATACCCTCCTGATTCTGAAATCCTGGTCTGTGGGCCAGTCACACTTTGAGTAAGACTTAGCTAGACATGTGGAGATTGTCAGTATAGAGTTGACAGTTGAGATTGTGGGAAATGGAGATCTTTGAAGAGGAAAGTGTCTGTGTGTGTTTGTGTGTACTTGTGCATATACACAGAGACAGACATGGAGGGAGAGAGGGAAAGGAGGGAAAAGGACTGGGGACAGGAATGATTGAATTTCAGGGATAGAAGATGGAGGAAGAACCAGAGAAAGATGTAAAAAGGGAACAACCAAGCAGGTAGGAGGTGAGAGTAGCATGGTGTCATAGGGTATAGTTTCTAGGAGAGGGTGGTTTATTGGGTTCAGAAGATAAGGACTGTGAAAAACTGGGAATTCAGAGAGTTGGTGGGATGGTCTGACAGAACTTCTGCCTTCTGTCATCTTTGACTGGATTTTCTTTCTTAAGTCCATCTCAGATGTCTTCTAGCATGGTACTACCTTCTTTTCTTTCCCCTGTCTACACACTCAGCCTATGTGATTTTGTCCAGTTCTGTGGCTTTAAATACCATCGGTATGTGTTCAGTTCCCAAATTTATATCTCTAGGTCATCTCACTTCTGAGCTCCAGAATCACAAACCCAACTAACTGCCTACTTGATATATCCACTTGGATGTCTGATAAGTGTTTCAGACAGGGGGAGCAATTATGAAGCTACTGCTGTAACCCAAGCCTTAGCTGATGGTGGCATGGACTAGAGAGAGAGATCGCTGAAGATAAAGAGAAGTAGATAGATTTGAGAGAGACTTTAGAATTATGGTAGAAACAAAAAGATTTGCTTATGGATATTAGGCCTGAGGATAAAAGGGAAGAAACAAATGATGTCTGGATCCTCAGTTTTTGGTTTAAGCATTCATGGCTGTGGCTGTGTCATATTCTGAGAGAAAGGACCAGGTTTGGGGAGGGGAAAGGAGGGAGGCCAATCAAGAATTTTGTTCTCCCTGTCTCATGACACTTCCGTAATAGCTCTTGAACACAAACAACTCTCTCTGTCTCCACTCCACCTCTCTAGTCCTATCACCATCTGTTGCCTAGGCAACTGCAGTGGCCTCTTAATTGATCTCTTTGCTTCCATTTCTGCCCTCTTCCAGTCTATTCTGCACAGATCAGCCAGAGTAATCTTTTTAGGACTAAATCAGATCATGTCAGTATTCTGCCTAAATCCTTCAATGGCTTCCCATTTTATTTGGAATAAAATGTGAACTCATTACAAGTTTTTCAGGATCATGTGTGATCTGGCCCCTACATCTTCCCCTCATTTCCTGTTATTTCTCCTCATTCACTATTAGCCTCCCTGGGCTTTTAGTTTCTAAATCAAGCACAAGATCTATCTTGCTTCAGGGCCTGTGCTTTGCTTTTGTTGCTTACTGTTCTTTTTTCCTGGAGTGTTTTTCCTCTGTTTCTTCTTGATACTTACCAAGTCTAAAAGATAGGTTCCTCTTAACCCTTGTCTCTCAAACCACCCTGTTTATTTCCTTACTGAACTTCCTATGATTTGCAATTAGTACGTTTCTTTATTTACTTATTTAAATATCTATCACTCCTGTCTGAATGTAAGCTCCATGAAGGCAAGGATTATGTGTGACTTGTTCACTGATATATCCCAGTATGTGCTCGAAATAGCAGACGTTTACATATTCTTAATGAATAACTGAGGATCAGCATCAGTGATTTGTTTTAACAAGATTGGTAGTGATTGGGGAGGGAGGTTGTGGATGGAGGATAGGGAGAGAAATGAGGGGGCATATTGGGGTGGTAGCTAATGTTAAAGTTTAGGCTGAATGTGGCAGGGAGAAGAGGGTGTAAGAAATGCCAAAGTAGGAATTCTGGGGGAATTGGTGGTATTTGAGGTATTAAAAGTTACGATGTTGACATAAATGGAAGAACTGAACATTGTGCTCAGTAAGGGGTTTTGGAGTTTGAGAACATGGAGGTACATCAGGTTTTGTGATGGTAGAGCCAGGTTAGCTGAACCTCTGTGTGTTCCTAGGGCACACTTTTCATACTTCTGTTGCATGCAGCATGTCTCAGGCTATCCTCAGCATTGCCTGTTCAGTGTCTGTGTTTCCCTCTAGACCATAAACTCCTTGAGAGCATGAACTGTTTCTTGTTCACATCTGTATCTCCAGTACTAACACATTGCTTCAAAATTTTTATTGATGCATGCATGCATGAATGAATGAATGAATGAGAAGACATTAACTGAGGTGGAGCAGAGGTAGAGATAATAAGAGTTGAGGAGGTTAAGAGATAATGAGGCTAAAAGGTTTAAAATTGAAAGGGAAATTTTTATTTCATTTTAATTTTTTTTTGAAAGGGGAATTTTTTAAATTAACATTGAGATATCCTTTATGTACAATAAAGTGCTTCCATTGTAAGCATTTAGGTTGATGAGGCTTAACAAATGTACACACATGTGTAACTATTACTAAATTGGGATATAGAACATTTCCATTACTCCCAAAATTATAGTGTCCCCAAATGGGGGGGATTTTAGTTTTTTGTTTTTTTTTTACATCTAATATTGTTATGTTTGTATAATAATCAGTATGAAAATCAAGGAAAAAATTATCCACAATCTCAAATGTGTGCTGAATCTTTAATAACAATTTTTTTTTTTTGATAGTTG